CAGGATAGGCATTTCCGAGTCAGGGCGTCTCTCGTAACCAGGATACCCGGCGGACCTGGACACCTCCGCCTAGTCAGTTCCAGGTCAAGATAGCCATTTCCGGGTCAAGTCGTCTCGCGTGACCAGGATCCGTGACGTTACATGGCCACGTAAGCGCGCAACGTGACCATGTGATCTACGCACACGCGTGGAGTAGTGACGTGACCTGACCACGCCCCCAGCCGGTTTTAAAGCGGAGCGCCATGTTCCTGGTTCTCTCTTCTCCACGCACGTGTCTCTCCCACAGGCCTGCGCACTCTGTCCCTTTAACTCTAATAAACTCTATAAGCGGATTCTGTCCTGTTTCGTGACACTTCCTTGCAGGGTAAGAACACAACGCAGCTAAATAACTAACAAAAGTCTCCAGAGTGACAGAACAAGAAAGGACAGGAGAAGCCTCCGCTGAAGGCTTTCAGCAGGGACAAGGAAGATCTGTCCTACTTCGTCTTTTACAGCACAAGCAGCTCTGAGCTAACACTCAATACTCTCGAGCTAGTGTTAGAAGTGTGGAAGCTCGCTGGTGAACCATCCAGCATGAGCAACAGACCAGCACGGACACAATGAGGGAAGGAAGACAGGCCAGGGGCAGGAGAAGCCAAGTATGTTCTTCCAGTTCTGAGAACTGCACACATCATTAGTTTCCCCACTTCCAGACACTTTCAGAGCATCTTGAGTTAGGGAATGACCACAACCAGATGAAGGAAAATTCCTTACTGCCAAAAGAATTGGGAAGCAAGCACAGAATGGACACATTTTTCATCTCACATTGCCCTTCTTTCCACTCTAAAAGACGACGACTGACCTTGCATTCTGTCTCATTACATACCCTGAGTCAGCAGTAAACTGCTGTGTGCTTGGGTCTAGGCCACCACTTTTGGTTTAAAGTCTATTTTCAGTAACTACATAAACAAACTGGATATTATTGTAGAAAGAATATTAGAGCCATTGATTGACAAAGTGCAGCCTCAAGGACGCTCATTCCGCCTCGCTGCTCGCTCTGCATATTTACATCTGCTATGCTCCAGGAACTACCAACACTCTGCGATGAATGCTCTGAGTCTCTTGTAACTGTGTGTGCGTGCCTGGAGAACCCTGCCCACCCTGTGCCCTATGCTGAGTGTCTTAGCCACTGTTCCAGGCAGGAAACATGGAGCATGCAGGTGCTCTGTAAGAGTAGCCGAGAGCCTTGTCCAGATCCATAGGCACAGACACAGACATGGGCCTGGCCTGGGCTTTGGAACCTCAGTCACCACTCCCTGATGAGAAAGCATTCACACAGATGAGCCTAGAGGGGCCATTCCTCTCCAAACCCCAAACTGAGAACTCATCTGTCATTCAGGCTCCCTTCAAGTCCTCTAGCCAGAAGGGCTCTGGATACTTCATCCTATTTGTTTTTCCCTAGTAATGGCCTGTACTCTTGTTCCTACCTTGCTATGACACCTGTCTCCTGAGAACGTTTAATCCGTGCTAAAATCTTCATAAATTTTAATGCTGAGCAGCTGTCAAGGGAGCATGCATTCAAATTTCCTTATATGAACTAACCGGCTATTCTTACGGGTATAGGTGTAACAGGAATCAAACATGCCCTTGATTGTAAAGGGTAGTTTAGCCTTTTCGTACCTACCTGACCAAGAGATAATCGTTTGGGAGGTCTTCCTCTCCGTCGGTTAGCAGGACTGAAGATAAATGTCGGTGGATCATCAGGGAAGAAGTAAGAAAAGTCTTGCTCTGCTATGTTGTATGTTGAAAGAGATGCCGCCTTCATTAAAAACACACAAGGTATAGCAACAGCACATTAGTGGACTGAACACAGTACTGCTCAAATGTCCTACGACCACTATTCATGCTGTTGAAGACTAAGCCATTAGGTAGTTGTTTATGTGATCCTTTTCTACTTTAAATAATTCACCAGCAAGATGGCAGAAAGGAAACTTATTAAAGTCTGCCATGAACCGAGTATCGTGACGCATGGCTGTAATCCCCGCATTGTAAGGTAGGACACAGGATCAGGAGCTCAAGGTCATTCTTGGCTGAGCAGAGGTTTAAGATCCACTTACAAGAGACTCAGCCTAACAAAACCAAACAACCTTGCCACAAAATATCAACAATGTTTCTACAGATTTTTGAATACCAAAAGCTATTTCAATATAATCTGTTTTTTAGATTTATTTTATTTTTAATATTGGGGTTTGTGTGCACCTATGAGGGCAGGTGCCCTCACTGGATCCCTGAGCTGGAGTTATGTATAAGCAGTTATAAATACCCAATGGGGTGCTGGGAACCAAATTCAGGTCCTCTACAAGAGCAGTAATTGGTAGTTCTTAACAAACAGTCTCTATAGACACTAATGTTTTGATCAGTTTTGTCTACGTTTTTCTCTCTTTATTTTTTCCCATCTATCCATCGGAGACAGGGACTCACTACTATGTAGCTCTAAGTAGCCTTTGGCTTGCTATTTAGACTAGGTTGGGTCTTGAATTCAGGCATTAGCCTGCCTATCTCCTGAGTGTTGGAATTACAGGTATGCACCATCATGCCTGGCTTTAAAATACTCAAGTCATACACTAGACATTTAAAAATCCCTGTATTTTGTTTTTACTTGGCATGTAATAATTGCACATTATTTATGAAACACAGTATGATGTTTCACTACTCCAATAAACGTCTTTCTCTTTTATTTTTTTAGCTAGTCTCTCTGGAAGTCCAGGTTAGTCTCTCATGTGCAATTCTGCCTCAGTCTCCTCAGTTGGATTACTGCCCCCTGGCTCACCAGTCAACCTTTCTCAACCATTTTCCAACTACTGAACATCTGGATTCTTTTTGGGGGGTTGGATAGTGACTTAAATAATTATATAACTTATATAATTATAATTTATAACTTTTATAGCAAGTTGGTCTCAATAAAAGCAGAAATACAAATTTCTATCAAGTTTCAAATAAAAAAATTAAGAAAATCTTACATAGTTGTTTGGTTCTAAGGTATTTGCCAAATTTCAGAATTACCTTTTACCTTGTATCTTAAAATTTGTTTAGAAAAATGTCTAGAGCATTTTCAACCCCAGACTTTTTGCTAATTTGGATTAATGGACAGATTACAATTTTTTACCTCTAAGAAAAAGGCCCTTCACAGAAATGTTTCAGAAAAGCAAAGCTACAAAAATGTCAATATTAATAAAACAGGAAGAGTTCTACTAAACCATTTCTGTTTTATTGGTAGAACACAAGTTCTAGCATCTAAAACCCTGTTGATTCTGACCATGCTAGTAAATCAGGACCCATTACAATTTTACATTCGACTCTTCTGAGAGGATCATTGGTGGATTTCTTCTCACATACAGGATGATAATGCTTTAATGGAAATGCCTAGAGCCTAAGTATTTCAGATTCTTAAAGATATTTTTAATGTCTGCAAATATACAATAAGGTATCTTGGGGAGGGGGTGTGAAACCTAAGTCTCAAAGTGAAATTCATTTACACAGGCTATTTTTTAAGAAAGGGTATCAAGACGGGCGGTGGTGGCGCATGCCTTTAATCCCAGCACTTGGGAGGCAGACCCAGGCAGATCTCTGAGTTTGAGGCCAGCCTGGGCTACAGAGATTCAAGACAGGCACCAAAACTGGCACACAGAGAAACCTCTGGAATCCTCCTCTCTCTGCCTCCACCCCCAGACTGGGGTCATGGATACATACTGCCACATTTGGTTATTCCTGGGTGCTGAAGTTCTGAACTCAGATCTTTTTCTTCTTCGGTCTTCTGCACGCTGGGGTAAGAGGCCTGGGGTAAAAGACGCGCACCACCTCTGCCCATGGCACTCGGGCTCCCCGGTCTCAGCCCCCACAGCGCACTTCACTCACATCGCCCAGTTTCCCGCCCCCCAGGCTTTTTAAAAACTAAAGTCTCAATATATCTCTGACTGGCCTCAAAATGATGATCTTTCTTCCTCTGTCCTAAGTGCTGGAATTACTGGCATATACCACCATGTTTTATTCTCTTTTTTTTTTATGCTTCTTTATCTAATGTGATTTAAAAAGTTCATATTAAAAATGAATTTTACCATTTTTGACTTTTTATTTAATGCACAATGGAAAGTCTCTAAAATCTTGACTTTCAGGGCTAAGAATGCAGTTCAGTTGCTAAATGCTTACTTAAAATGCATGAGGCCCTCAATTCAATCCCCAGCTCCGCATATGGTACATGCGATAATACAGAACTTAGGAGGATGTCCAGCCTCAGACACACAAAACTTTCTTCTCCCTCTTAATGGCCATTAGGAAAATCTAATCTATCGGTTTAGCACTTGGTCTAGGGTGCCTTTGATGAGTTGTCTCACTTCAGCACTTACTGAGTATCACTCTGAATCCATCCACTCTCAGTTAACTCACGACACAACTTTCCAAGTTCTGTCTCGGTTGGTCATTAATCTAATTAAAAAGTGGCAGGAACTGAGCCACCTAATAATTCTAAAAATAACACCCAATTCAACAAAAACACTTTATTTAAAAGTTACTAAAAATTAGCTCCGCAGATAAAATGAGAGCGATTTTAGTCATCTTTGAAATATCATTTTGGCAATGTTACAAATTTATATAGCACTATACAATTGTTATTTTTATTTCTTCCCAATAAACAATTTCACTATTCTCCTTACCTTAATTTTAATGACTCCATCTTGTGGTTCACAGTGTTGTTTCAGAAAAAGCTTTAGTTTATCACGAGAAAATAGGTGTTTTCTCCGGCTGATGTTGGGGGAAAGAGGGTAGAATTAGTACTAATGATTTAGACCTCCGTAATCACTATACATTTAAAACACGACTATTATCTTTGACCTTTATTGATTCTTTGTGGGTTTCACATTATCCACATCTTCCTGTCCCCTCGCATCTGCCCCCATTCCTTGCAACCTCCCCTCCAAAACAATGCCAAATTTAAAAGAGAAACCAAAAACAAAAGCTAAACAAAGAAAAAAAAAAAAAGAGAGAGAGAAGAATCTTGTCCTGGAAGCTACAGTGGCCGGTTGAGTCTCAGAGTTCACCCTTTAGTCCACTTGTCTTTACTTCCTAGTTAAAGCATGACATTTAAGCCGGAAAGGTCTCACACAGGGGAAGTCATCCTCCAAAGGTGTTTAGTAGACCTTACTAGAGACTCTACACACAAAGGGATTCTTCTGCCAGAACCTAGAAAACCTGAGTGGACCAATTACAATTTTAATTTTCCTCAATTATTAGCAATGGCCACAGCAAACAAAACCCAAACCGTCAAAAACTCAAAGGAAACAGACCCAGCACAACAACCCTGGGAAGTGTAATGTGTTAATCAAATCCAGTCTTTCAAGCAAAAGTACAGTTTCCATCAATAAACCTTACTGGAGGCATAAGGCAGGTCCTTCCTCAGACCTGTATTCCTTTCCTGTCTGCCCCAGGACTGGAGCAGCTAGCGAACGGAAGGCAGTCACTTGCTGATAATGCGCAAACTGATTCTTGAAGTTTGCACTGATAGGTAGCCAGTAGCCACATACGGGTTCTTTTTATAAACACATTAAAAAGTCAGTTCCTCATTTTTACTAGTTACATTTCAAGAGCTCAATAGCCATAAATGGCAATTACCTACCACTGGTCAGAACATAGGACATTTTCGTTAGCAGGGGGACAGAAGTTGGGCTTCTTACTACCCCTCCAGTGTGGCCGGTCTCCTGCAGGAATGCTACCGTCCTCAGTCAACGGGACAGTGTGTCTGAGGCTAACAAGGGCTGTTAGCTAGAGGCTGGAGGGCCGGCTCCGGGGTTTGGAGCACTTGCTGCCTTGCAGAGAACCTGGGCTCCCGGCACCCACATACTGTAACTCCAGTTCCAGGAGATCCCAAGCCCTCTCTGACCTCATGGGCACCACATACGCATGGAACACACACATACATGTGCTGGCAAAACATTCATACACATAAAAAAAAAATCCTAAAAACTAAAACAACAACAAGAACAACAAAAAACAACTTCAAGATACTGCTTTATTGTCAACCATAGATTTCTCATCATGAGGAATATGAAAAAGAAAATGAGCCAATGAGGATGTAACCAAACTCTAGTGGAATTATAAATGAGAAGCCAAAAAGTAAAGAGAAAATGAACATTAAACAGGAAACAAAATTGTTACAGCTGTGTTTAGAATGAAAGACAAGAGGAGAACTTCATTTTGAGTAAGAAAGTAAGTAAGGAATCACTAACCCATACATGCCTGACTAGATCTCAGTACCTCAAAACATTAAATTCAATAAACAGGAAATGATAGTCTTAGAATCATCTGGCATGTTCTACCTGTTGATATTGCTTTACAAAGTTCATTCCAGAGAACCACAAAAATGAGTTCTAAAACTAAATAAGTCGGGCGGTGGTGGTGTACACCTTTAATCCCAGCACTTGGGAGACAGAGGCAGGCAGATCTCTTGAGTTCGAGGCCAGCCTGGCCTACAAAGTGAGTTCCAGGAAAGGCGCAAAGCTACAGAGAGAGACCCTGTGGGGAGGAGACTAAATAAGTAATTAAAAAAAAACATTTAAGCAAGTTCATGATTTTGTGTTGGGCTAACTGCTGGCATGCACTGGCTGCATCCCAGTAGCCCATTGGCTACAGGCTGAACACATCTGCTATAGATCTTAAAACTAAGGACTGGGCCTGCCAACCCTGGAATTCAATATGACGGAAGAACTGTCTCCTCCCTACAAGAAAATGCTATCTCAAGCTGGATGTGGTGGCACATGTATTTAATTCCAACACTCGGAGGCAGAGGCAGGCGGGTCTTTCTGAGTTTGAGGCCAGCCTGGTCTACAAAGGGAGTTCCAGAACAACCAGGGATGTTCCACAGAGAAACAACCCTGTCTCACACCCCCACCACCAAAAGAGGAGGAGGAGGAGGAGGAGAAGAAGAAGGAGGGAGGAGGAGGAGGAGGAGGAGGAGGAGGTGGTATCTCTGACACAGGATTTACCTAAGACATCACTTTTCTAGATTACCTGAGGTACGTATGGGGCAAAGGAAATGAGAGAACAATTAGAAGTTATTTTACAGCAAATATCACTTTACTGTCAGGTGAGGAAAAACATCACTGAGGATATAATTCAGCTGCTAAAGTGCTCACCACACTTGTCATCTCGGGGCAGGAAGGCAGTCAGGAGGATCTCCAGGAGCTTGACCGCTAGCCAATCTAGATAATTGGTGAGGCCCTGGTGCCCAAGCGAAAGCCCATCTCAAAAAGCAAAACGGGGCAACATAAGCCAACGCTCCCTTTTCTGCGCAGCCGCCAAGATGGCTGAAGTGGAGCCGAAGCAGCAGCAGACCTTCTCAAGTTCATCTACCGTGGCGTGGACCTGGACCAGCTTCTCCAGCACCTTTTTACTTTCATTTATCTTTTTATCAAAGCCCACACAAAATGTCCTGTGAGGGGCTGATGCAGCTGTACAGCGTCCCAGGGACGCCTGACCGTGGCCAGCGGCGGAAGCCCCTGAGAAAGGCCAAGGAAGAGGCTGGGCTTATGGAGAAGCCTGAGGTGGTGAAGACCCACTTGAGGGACTTGATCATGGTGCCTGAGGTGGCAAGACCTTCAACCAGGTGGAAACCAAACCAAAGATGATGGGCCACAACCTGGTGAGTTCTCCATCCCTACAGGGCCATGAAACACAGCTGAACAGCACTGCCTCTTAAAGGAGCCTCGACCATTTCCCTTTTTTTCTCTCTCTCTCTCCCTCTCCTCACTCCCCCCACCTCTGCCCACTTAATCCTCAAGTAGCTGTGGCCAATAAAATCTCAAGTCTCTAAGAAAAAAAAAGGCAAATGGGGTAGGTGAGATCAGGTAAGGGCACTCAAAACCAACCCTAACAACCCAGGATTGATTCCTAGAACCAACACGGTAGAAGGAAAAGAACCCACTCCCTGACCCCCCCAACACCCAAGTGGCCTGGACCACACAGCGACCACTGCTACTTGACAAAGCTCCAGCATTTCAACAGACCACACTGCTCCACCACATTTTCACTTTCATTTTTAATGATTCTCACTATTAATGCCTTTCCCTTTGGGAAATTTTGTGTGGGCTTTGATGAAAGATAATAATGTGTACAATGGTAGCCTCTCTAAACAAGTAATTCTTTGGGGGAAAAAAATCCCCTCCACCATGAAACCAGGAATTCCACTGTTCCCTCCTAATTACACCAAGAACAGGGAAGTTAGAGATTTACTAGACACACCTGATCTTGAGGATGAAATGCCTACAATTCAGATCCAGAGCCTGAGGCCAGTAAGAGCAAGAGTTCAGTTAATAGAAGTCAGAATGGTACAGTGTAATGGGGAAAGAGTAAGACATCAGGACCTTCCCTTTTGGGAGTAGTGTTATGAGGAACACAGGCCCATATAGCAAGACTAAAAAATTGTAATAGTGTCTGGCTCCAGAAGATGTCCTTTTCGCAAGGTCAGGCATTTGGATAAGGGTCTCTATTCCCTTGGGGGTTGAGGAAAGTTCCTGCTTGATAAAGCAGTTATTCTTATCTCTGGCAAGAAGATTTCTGGCCCTTCATTAAGGTCTGACTGGCGCCTATTGTTGAGGTCAAGGCCAGCTTCCTCAACCCCTGATTCTAGCCACACCCCCCTCACACGCCCCTTGTCTCCCTTTTAATCCTGTGTGCAACTATGCAGTATAATACAGTGTAATCTCTTCTCAATTAAAGCTGCCGGCAGGCATCCCCATTCCCTCTCGGATCGCGTCTCCTCCTCCTCCCAACACATCCTCTATGAGACCTGAGAACCCGCCTCCGCCGAGGCAGGTCTGTCTTTGCACCCGAGGGTTTTAGGAACTGCAGACAGCTGAGTAAAGCTGGGAGTGGGAGAGGCGCTCCTCCCCAGAGAAGAGCACACCAAGTGACAGTCCTGAACCCATCCATACAAGTAACATATATGGACTCAGCACAGTTCTATTTAGGAATATATGTGTATAAACATATAAGTATAGAATAAAAATTAATGGGAAAAAGAGGCCATTAATCTGAAGGAGAGTGGGGAGGGGTGTGTGGGAGGTAAGTTTGGAGGCAGAAGGGGGGGGGAGAAGAAATGCTGTGATTATAATCTAAAAAGATGATGATAATAATAAAAGCAAGAGCAGAGAAGGCTCCTGAGGAATGATGCCCCAGGTTGACTAACGGCCTCCACATACACACAAGTACACACCCCCACAACTATACCATTACACAAGCTAAATAATACAATATACAATCAACAAGTAAATGAACTGAACAGTCCTTGAAGAAATACAAATGGCCCATATACATAAAACAATGATCAACATCCTTGCCCATCATGAAAATGCATATTAAAACTACATCGAGGTTCCATTTAGCCAAAAAAGAAAAGAAAACAAAAAACAAAACGGGCTGGAGAGAGGGCTCAGTGGTTAGGGGAATGTATTGTTCTTGCAGAGGACTCAGGTTTGGTTGCCAGTACTCAGGTCAATTGGCTCACAGCTGTAACTCCAGTTTGAGGGTGATCTAACACTCTGGCATCCATGAGCAGCTGCAGGAATGTACACATACCCCACACAGACACACATAATTAATATAAGTATTAAACATGGAATGCACGGGCAGTCATGGTGCTGTACTCTTTAAACACGGGCAAGCAGATCTCTGAGTTTTCGTTTAAGACCAGTCTGGTTTACAGAGTTCCAGGCCTGCCAGAACTAGTGATACCCTGCCCCCCCCCACAAAAGAAAACAACAGCAACCCCCCCCACAAAAAAAAACAACAGCAACCCCCCCCAAAAAAAAAACCCCAAACCACACTTTACAAAGGAAACAAACACCAGTGAACATGGGGGAGGGGTCCATATACACTTCAATGGGAATGTAAATGACTGTAACCACGTAAGTGGAAGGGGACCATTAGGGAAGAGGAAGGGGACCAGTGTGGGAGGCAAGAGAGGAAAATGAGGTGATACAAAGAACATGATGTACATACACAAAATGGTCAAGTGACTTACATTTTGTATAATGGATATCTACTAATAAAGTCCTTAACTCATTAGCTTGGAAATGATCTAGAATTAGTAATTCAAACCAGGCGCTCAAGTTCATTTTATCACTACTTAATACAAAAACATACACTTATTTGAAAAACAGAATCAATCATTTGCAACATTATCCACTTGTTCTAAATAAAGACTCTCACTTAGATGCCTATAAAGAAAGTATTGACTTTTACCTGATTTGTGTTGCTTTCACGACAGCAGACTCATACATTTCCTTTTTAGTGGGCTGCACCTTGTACCTGAATAATAAGGGATCAATTGCATCTTTCTTCTTCCTAAAAAGAAGAGGAACAGACCCAAATCAGTTAATCATTTAAGAATATGAGATTCTTAGCCGGGCGGTGGTGGCGCACGCCTTTAATCCCAGCACTCTGGAGGCAGAGGCAGGCGGATCTTGGTGAGTTCGAGGCCAGCCTGGTCTCCAAAGCGAGTTCCAGGAAAGGTGCAAAGCTACACAGAGAAACCCTGTCTCGAAAAACCAAAAAAAAAAAAAAAAAAAGAGATTCTTGAAACTATTTCTTTGCACATTATAGTAATAGACTCTTTCTCTTTTTCTTTTGAAGCAGGGTTTCAATATATAGCTCTAGCTGGCCTTACAGGACAGGCCTCCAAGTACTGGAATTGAAGATAAGCTCTACTATACCAGCTATGATACAATCTTATATGGTTTTATTTTATTTGTTTGTTTGTTTTCGACACGGGGTTTCTCTGTGTAGCTTTTGGAGCCTATCCTGGATCTCGTTCTGTAGACCAGGCTGGCCTCAAACTCAGATCCACCTCCTCTGCCTCCTGAGTGGGAGCTGGGATTAAAGGCTCGCACCACCATGGCCCAGCATGGTTTTATTTTAAGATTTTTATAAATTAGATAGCCTTTCACACTGTATTAGCCAAAACACTACAAGGCATAATTTAATCTTAGGTAGGCATTTTATTCATTCATTCAATAAAATTTCCTTGAGTGAATAAAGTAGTTGGAAATGAATAATAAGTACTTAGTACTGTTTACCTGTTTAGGTTTTATATATAAATGTAAACACACACACACACACACACACACACACACACACTCTTTTTTTTCCCCCGAGACAGGGTCTCAGATAATTTGGGCTAGCTTTGAGCTCATTCCATAGTTGAGGATGACCCAGAACTCACGACATTGAGTGTGACTGAGGGTAACTTTGAACTCCTGGCCTTCTTGCCTTTACTTCCCAGGGCTAGATTACAGGCACTGCCACCACACTCAGTTTATTCTGGTTAGGGACTGAACACAGGTCTTCACGCACCCTAGGTGAAAGTATTCTACCAACTGAGCTATATCCAGCCCCATGTGAGAAAAATTTGGAGGGAAAAAAGTGAAGAAAAATAAAGAGAAAGTGGGTAGGGTGGCAGGCTGTGCTGTATGTAATCCCAGCACTTGGGAACTAGAAGGTCTGAGGATCAGGAATTCAGCAGCATCCTTAGCTACACTGAAAGTTGCAAGCTAGCTTGGCTATCTCAAAAAGAAAGAAAAAGTAGGTTTCTTAGAATTGCTTTTAACTTTGTTCACAGGAGCACGCCTGGGTAAACCAAGTTACTCAGGAGGCTAAGGCATAAGATCAAGGCTACAATTGAGTCAAGGCCATCTTGGGCAATTTAGTGAAATCCTGTCTCAAAATAAAAATAAAAAGGGGATGGAAGTATAGGTCGGTGGTAGAATGCTTGTCTAGTTCAAGCACACAAATGGCAAATGGTACACTTAATCCTCACTCCAACCAACTTCTCACTAAGCTTTAAAGGTGTCTTTACTAATATTCACCACTCACTCAATAACTGAAAGCCTACAGTGTGCCAGATACTATTATAATAACAAGTCAGTTAATCCAAGAACTTTAATCCAAGCACTTGGGAGTTCAAGGTCAGCTTGGTCTATAGAGCAAGTTCCAGGGAAACTCTGTCTTGAAAAACCAAAAATGATATAAAATAAAATACAAGATACAAACAAGCAAGAAAAAGAAGAAGAAAAAAAAGCCACTACCTTATATATGGGCAGTGATACTTGGTCAACTGACCAGGTAGGCCTCCCAGTAAGTTCGTATTTAAAGAGCTGTGTCTGTGGTGATGACGAGGGAATGAGGGACAACCCAGGAGTAAATCTAAGGAGGAGGAGTTTAGAGGAAGAAAGAATACTGAAGAACCTGAGGTCAAAGTGGGCATATTTAGCTCAATATCAGGATCATGAGGAGAAAGAAGATTCAGTCAGAGGAGGTGAATAATAAGTATTGTTAATGGAGCTCTGCCGTAGCCCTTTCATAAAACTTCCTTCGGGACAAAAATGAGAACTTCATTCTTTCTAAGGAAGTATCATCACCAGAGACCAACAGAAATGCTTCCTATTATATGGACAGAACTTCCATTTGAACTACTTCCTCTCGTGCTACTCCATGCCTGCGTCTACACAGAGGAGAAGCTTATTATATCTCAATAGTAGCTGTCGGCCCACCACGTCACTACCAGCAAGGAAAATGATCTTTGTGGAGGGGCCCCAAGCAGCTTGACCACACAGCAGCCATGATAGGCTTAGGGGCCTAGACACAGCTTCTGCTTACTGGCAGGCAACACCCAGATCCAGGAAAAGCCTTATGCTGGTACCACCCAGGGATCCACCCAGGGGTGAGGAAGTACCTGACATCCCAAACATTCCAACCATTAGGTAAGGTGCCCAGATGTCCTTGAGTCTAGGACATACCTATTTTTGTTTTACAGATACCACTAGACAAGTGTCAGCCAATCAGGGTCCTGATCTCTGGAAATCTCACCCCAACCTCTGCTATGATAAAAACTCTGCCCCACCTCAGTTCAGGGCTCTCTGCTCTCTCCACTGTGTTGGACAGACAGAGGGACCAAGCTCCGGAGCTTGAAATAAAGGTTCTTTACTTTTACATGCAAGATTCGGTCTCCGTGGTGGTCTTTTGGGGGTCCCCGCAGTCTAGGCATTATATATGTTGTGGTGTTAAATCACTGATTCAGCCTGCTCTTTCGGGGGATTCAATCAACCACTCAAAAGTATTTGGGCCCAGGAGAGGTGGCACACTCCTGTAATCTCAGCACTTGGGAGGCTGAGGCAGATGGAGCTCTGAGTTTGAGGCCAGCTTGATCTAACATAAGGAGCTCCAGGCTGCAGAGTGAGACCCTGTCTCAAAAAAAACAAGTATTTGGAGGGCATCTGTACCAAGCATACAGAAAGTTTTTCTCTACCACTGTTCTCTAAACAGTACAGTGTAAAGCCTACTTACACAGCATTTGCACTGCATCTGAAATTGTAAGTAATCTACAGATTCCATGTATATGCAAACACTGCACTTTGTATCAGGAGCTTGAGTGAGCATCTGCAGACTTCTTTATTTGAGAAGGGTGGTAGTGAGTTCCTGGAATAAGAAATCTTCCATGGATACTGGGGACAGCTTATTGTATTAATTCACAACAAAATATGTTGTATAAATGCTTCTCTCTCACATACATTCTAACACATAGCATTTTATTTATATTTGACAAAGGATGAAATTTCAATAGACTAGAAATAACCCCCCAAAAATCTACTGTATTTTCAATATAAACTTTTCTTCTTAAGAAATTATCAAGGTTGCCGGGCGTTGGTGGCGCACGCCTTTAATCCCAGCACTCGGGAGGCAGAGCCAGGTGGATTTCTGTGAGTTCGAGGCCAGCCTGGGCTACCAAGTGAGCTCCAGGAAAGGCGCAAAGCTACACAGAGAAACCCTGTCTCGAAAAACAAAAACAAAAACAA